GCATGAAATATTTATGGAAAGATGAACTACTAAATTACTTCCGTTTATTCACTGAATAGTGTGTATCAGTATGCGAAGTATCAAGTTACGGCCAACTCACTATCCACCCACGGAGCAAAGTGTTCACTTTCTCTTCGGTCAGGAAATGGAAACTGAATAGGCAGTTGTTTCTCGACCCCGGTTTAGTTGTCGTAGAAGTGCGAATACATCTGGAGGTTTCAACTCCCACAGGGTCATTGGACGGTACGCTTGCTTTCTGTCTGCGAGGATTCGATTCCCGATTGGGTCCAGACAGTTACACAGTACCACCCAAATTTGTATTTCCAGATTCGTATTTGTTCAATAAAATTCACCATATACTCAATCTCACCTCACTGAATACGTACATGTTTGGAACTACAGTTTCAGGGCTGGGTGGGGAAGGGTTGTAAACTTGTACATCTTTTACCAATTTTTTGGTGACTGCAATTCAAGTATACCGTACAAGGAAGTTTGGAATTCTAATACTTCCAGCAATTCACTTTTAACGCATTTGGAACCCTGAGCAATAGTTTATCTTTAAAAGTAGGTTTTCGAGTCTCAACTAGACACCCGAAGTTCAGTCTGCATGGGGAACTGGGTGGTTCCAGCTGCACTTTTCTATGCTGTTCATCAAGTGTAATTAGTTTTCTGGAGACCGAGTAGATTATCCAATGTCCCGCATCTAACCGAAATCAGTGAGCTTTCACTGATCAGCATCACGATTCCCTCAGCTCATCGGGGATTAATTCGTCTCAAATTCACTGCCACTGAAGATTTTCCTGTTTATACCGGGAAATACTTTTTGTTCCCCTGATTGGGGCATCGGAGTTTATAGTGGACAAAAATTAAACACACACTAAATGGATTCAATAAACATTGCTGCCATATGCAGGAGTCAATAATAACATTGGAACAGCTAAAGAAATCAATCTTGAACGCAGTCTTCATGTATGCATTTCTCGGTCAAACGACAACACGCGAATCCGATGCGCGCGTCTCAGCCGCCTTAACGGTACACATGCTTTTGCTGGAAAAGTGCAAACAAACTGATCCCCAGTTGGTTCGCACCGCTGATCGGACCCAACCAAGTCCGAACAGCTGTCCAATGCTTCCTAGCTTTTCAGATCACGCTTCATTCAGACGAATTCATCTAATCAAATCAAGCATTCGTCTCATATAAGAAGCAGTCAGGTTGTGAAAGTTTTCAACCGAGTCATAACCCCAAAGGCTAATGCTGAGATAAGCGAGGTCCGTGGCCCGCAACCAGCTCGTAAAGGTCGATTGTGCTATATCGTGTAAATGGAAAACGGTCCGATCAGTTGCCCGGTATTCGAGTGGGTAGAATGCTTGCGTTCTGTCCACGAGATCCCGTTTTCGATCCCCAGTTGGGTCGATGGATTTGCATTGCTGATGTGACCCATCGAGGTTGAAACAACTGCACAGTGAGTGCTTCCCAGCTTTTCACCTAACTCCTCATCTACGCGGTAAATTCATCATTTAAACAAATAAGATAGTTTGGTGTGATAGGCGAAGTGTCAATAGACAAAATCGGCTTGCTTGATATCCGAGCCACATAAAATTCTTTATCTGATTACAGGTCAGAGTGCTGTGAGAGAAGGACCAACTAGCCTGGAATTTTGCCTAATGGGACATAGGATAGAATACAAGAGGAACTGGAAAACCAATGAACGCATTTAGTTTTCTGCCCCGATTCATGCGCTCCGATTACCGATAAACTGTTTCATTCATAATCTTCTGACTAAATAGAGCTCTTATCTCCGAGGCGCAAGCATCCTGTTGAGGGTGTTCTTTCTCTCTCTCTCTCTCTGTTTAATGTGGCTGGAACTGCACTGAACACATTGGATCTACTAACACTGCCATGTATAGCACGTATTGTCAAAGTTCGAATCCGTCAGTCGTCATTGTGCAGCTATGCAGAAATTAGGTTTCTTAGCATCGAGACAACAATACAAGATCAGCATTTATAGCTTCATTATCGTTGCATTTGTTTCCCTAAATGCAAATCTGACAGATGTTCTACTGAAGCAACCGTTCACACCACCGTTTCTGTTGGTCTGCGTGCATGCTCAGTAAACTGGTCAAATTAGGCCATTGGTTGGGAAATCGTTGCTCGATCAGCGCGGACACTCATTCACTCACCCACTCACAAATGTGCATTCTTTGACCCCCAAAACAAAAAGGTTAGAAGGAAGAGGGCTCATTACCGACCCCTCTTGCTGTTCTAATAGTCAGAGTCTCCGGAAGTTTATGACACCCAAAAAGTTCGATCTTGTTTTTCATGATTTTCGCTTACCACCTAGAAATAACCTGAAAGTCTCAGAATTGTGGCAACTTTATTTTGCCACGTTTGAGTTACAGTGCGTACACAAAGTTCGACAGGCGTCAGGGCTAACTTCGTCCTTGTTCTATAGTGTTTACCCCATAAAGAAAGACAGAGTTTGATACTGCATTGTGTCGGCGTTATAACACGAACTCACTTTTATCTGTTGAATATGAATTCTGTTGTTGTTTTTGCGGCTGCTGCTGTAGACCATTTACAGTAGGTTGGGGTTTGCATTGCGCATACAACTCTTCAATAGTTGTTCGACTCAATGCTTTCGGGTGTTTATTTGACCATGACTGACTAGAATTTGACGGTATCGTCCCGGCTCCCGGTAGACCTTCTGTGTCCAGATCGAACGAGACCGAATTCGAACTGGACTCATCCACTGTTCGGTCATTCAGTTGAAGTCGAGGAAATCGATGCATCTGTTGTTCAGACGTGGTGTTCGTGTAGGCCTCCTCAGAACTGGACTGTTCCTCCTCTTCCTCCTCATCCTGATCCTCACCAGTCCCGTGCGACCACTCGTTGACACGCAGCGTGTCCAAATCGTGACAATTCAGACGAATCGCTTTGTGATAGGTCAAATCTAAATGGTCCATAAATAATGGTTTGGTAAATGGTGGCGGACGGAACGGGGATTCGATAGGAGGGATTTGTTCACTCAGTGGTCGATCATATTGGCTACTTTCTTGTGAGAACTTAGACGACTGGGATAGGGTTGAAGCGGTGTGATGCAGCTAACCGGGAGCAGAGCGGGGTGGGGGGGGGGGGGNGAAACGAACCAAAAAATTCGCACAAACTAAAAGATCACTGATGACAATTTTCTGAACTAGAACATTCTAAACTACACGGTTTCATCGCGTTGAACATGTATCGATTGAAGAGTGCAAAAACAGTTGATTTTCAGAGACTTTGGCGTTTGCCTGTTTTTCAATATGACAATGTGCTTGTTCGTCTACCTTTTATCAGTTCATTTATTGATAAAAGTTGAAGGAGTGGCATTTCAATCCAGAAAAGGTCTTCTTTGTCAACTGTGAAGGAAGGACTCATTGAGTGAATGAGACCAATAATTCCATTTGTGTTTGTGTGTTCTACCAATCCTTTTTCTAGATCATATGGGTCTCGTTACAGTTACTTTGTGTTTCGTATTGATCTCCAAATGCCAATTGAAAGAAGAAATAATCTATGGTGGATGGTTTCAACCATCAGATGCTCCCCGTTGGCTCATACTACCTACCACCCATGGTTTATTGATCTTGACCCCGTGACCTGTTTTCGCACGTTGGTTTCAACCCTGTGAATATGCATTGTGTAGGCAAGTGCACACATTCCACTTATGATGCGGAGTACTCCCCAGTGATCATGCTGATCCACATGTTCTTTACCACTGGATAGAGCGGGCCGCAGACTGCCGATAAATTTATCCTGACAAACTTTACTACCGAGTGTTATTCGCTTAAGCTCCGGGGCCGCAGATGTCTTTCATGTGTATTGCAGTAAGTGGGTGGTACGATGAATTTATTCCCGCCGTCGGTCACTGGCAGTGTCTTATCGCTTCAAAAAGAGGATGATGAAACTTTCGAGAGTATTCATTTGAAATGAATACTCTGCTTTGCTTATTTTTCCGGAGTTCTTTGCC